AATATTTAAAACTTAAGATTTTATAGATTTCTTAAAAATATATGATTTTTGATGAGAAGTGACTTGGAGCACCATATAAACAAAAATTTATGATTTAATGTATATTATATTTTTTATTTCTGTTATTGCGTTCAATGGCTGATGCACTAGATACAAAACTCAGATACAAACGGGGAACTTGCTTTGGATGTAGAAAGTGTTTGTATTGTGGAGTTGATTTACAAAAGCAAAAATGCAAATGTGATATAACGAAGCCACCTCATAGAGGCAATCAAACTGACGCTGTCAAGTATGCTTATACGAATTTTTACTCCAAGTTGGACAGCAGATCAAACCTCTTTCATTTATGATAAAATAGTAAAATATAACTATGAAGTGAATTTAAAGGAGCCTTTTAATTTTTCACTCTGTTCACGATGCAATAATGGGTTGCTTAAATTAAAATTGACAAAAAAAAAATTACTATCTGATTCGGTAAAGAAAACAGTTAAACATCCTTCTAAGAAGATTAAATTTGAACATGAAATATATGATCTTACTTTAGCAGAGGATGAAGGTTTTTATAATTCAATAGATTTTCTTGAATTAGATGAAACTAGTGAAGAGGATATAGACATATGTACAGAAAAAGATTATGTATATGAATTCCACTATGGAGTTTTTATAAAGTTAGACGGCAAATTTTTACCAACCAAATGGTATAAAGCGACAATATCTGAAATAGATGAGTTTCTTTTAGAAATTCATACAAATGTAATTGCATTGACAAAAAATGAATTGATTGAAGCAAATGACTATAATGTGATATTTAAAAGCAAAAAGGCTATGGGAGCTGGAACCCAGTTAGTTGATGAACAAGACTTTCAAAAGTTTTGCTCTGAATATTGTAGACTTTTAGCACGAAAAGTTAATATGGGAATCTTTATAACTTTAAATTCTCAAGATTTAACCAAAAATAAATATAAAAAAAAGGTATATTTATATTTTTTTACTCTTATATTTTATTTAAATTAAAGTTAAAAATCTATATTATTTTAGGATACTGATTCTGAAACAGAATTTGATATATCTGAGAATTGTTCTTTAGAAGTACATAAAAATAAAAATGATATTCCAAAAATTTCTAATCTTACGACTGAAGAAACTCAAATAGCAGCAAATGTTACAAAAATTCATACTATTAATCATTGTGATTTACATAACTGGGCATGTTTAAATAAAAATCAAAGCAAAAAAAATCATATCTAAATTACATTTATGATGCTTTTAACATGGGCATCAGAAATTGTAATATATATTTATTTTTATCTTTTTTTAAATCAAACTTTATTTATTTTATTTATGTCGATCTAATTATATTTAATTATAGAGTAAAGGATTGGCTACTCCAACAAAACTACCAACACATCCATTATTTGCATATCAATTCTCCAAAATAAAATTATCAAATTTACAATCATCAGAATCCAATACACTTTCAACTTCAGTTCTATTTTCAAATTCTTATATGCTACATCCATTCTACAATCCATTACATATGTTTTCAAATTTTACTTTACCATATTCTGCTTTGAAACAAGCTTCACATATTACAAAACTATCTGTACTGGAACAAACTTCATATTCAACAAGACTACTTGTATCTTCAATGGATAATTTTTTAAAACTAGTTGATGAAAATGAAAATACTGATAATTATTATCAAGATTTTTTAATCAAATTTGAACAGCAACATATTTCTGTACGAATACTCTCTAGATTATCAGATGAAGAGTTTGAAAAATGTGGTGTTAATACTATTGGTGCAAGACAAACTCTTCGTTATTATGCTATGAAATATAATATTTAATTTACATAGTTATTTAATTAAATTTTTTATTTGTAACCTGATCTATTAAAAAATATATTAGCAAGTAATGGTGTAATCTGTAAACAAGCAATTAATAAAGGATAATTGGGATCAGGACTGCTTTCTACAAAATAATGATTTTTTCTTAAATAATGCTTTATAAATAAAAAAACTAATTCTATTAGGTTAAAATCTGGTGAATATAGGGGAAGAAATTCCACCCATACACCAAATGCATTTAAGTATTCGAGTAATCCACTATGATAGTGGATTTTAGCATTATTAAGAACTAAAATACTTTTTTTGTGTAAATATAGATTCATTTGGGGTAACTAAATAAATTAAATAAAAATTATTAAAATTATTACAAATAAAAATAATAGCAAAAATTTTTATATACATACCACCTGAGAAATTACAAACTCTTTAAATTTTTCCTTTGTGCAACTCCCTTCTATAATGTCTATAGCAATAATGCCATCTAATGTAAGAGCAGGCAAAAGTGTATATCATTTTCCACGAACAAATACTACTTTTTTTATGGCTCTTGTGTTTATTTGTAAATAGTTATAACCACGAGTAATTGTGCGATCATCTTTAGCAGACTCATTTAAAAAAATTAGCTGCTCACATTGATAAGTTCCAATATATGCTATAAAAGCACTACAGAGCAATTCACTATGTTCTTTTGCAATTTTACTTAACTAAAATAAATATTAAATAAATATTATATAATTATAATATAAACTTTAAATAAAATTAAAACCTTTTTTTGTATTATGCTACAATATACTAGTAATCTCTATAGCATAGAAACAGAAACATGCTTGCCACTTCGAACTTCCATTTTTCACACTATTTCATCAAGATATCAGTTAGTATTTTCTTGAACAATACTTCATAATATCTATTTACAAAATTTGAAATAAACAATATATTAGATATATATACAGTCAAACCTCTATAAATGCAACGTGTACAGACCAGCCTAAAACATGTATTTAGGAAGGTTTGCATTTAGAAAGAGCCAATCAAATTGCAGCTTTTAATATTTGATCTGCAGACTTGTGTAACAAACTTAAATACTAATTTCTGATTGGCTACGTGCACTTAGGGAGATTAGTATGATATAAAAAATCTTTTGAATGAACATGCATTTGCAGAATATAGAACATGTATTTAGCACTAATGATTTCATACAGCCAAGACAAAAATGTGTATTTAGAGAGGTATTGCATTTATGGAGGTTGCATTTAGGAAGTCTGACTATATATATAATGAGATGAATATAATAGATACTTATGTTTATATTATTATGATCAAAAGTTTTGTGTTGTCCAGGTATTTGCCTCCAGGGGTTAATTACAGTTCTTCATCTTTTATACAATCACAATATATTATATACTAGACTTCTGCTGATATAAAGAAATTTTGCGATCTGTTTTGTAGAATAGCCATCATACCAAAGAAATACTATACGCCATTTTAAATCTTCACTATAATACATCTTTGAAGATTTATTATCTATAGATTTTTCTTATAATCACACAGGTAACCACAAAGATAATCGCAAAGATAACTACACAGATGGCCATACGACAACTACGTCTATACAGATGATTACACAGTGTAAAGTAATATTTTTTTTCGTCTTTTGTTTAGTTTATTGGTTTTCTTTGTGCTAACACTTAAAACAATTTTTCTTTTAATTTCTCATTATATTTTAAATTATAAATACATGATTTAAAATAAAAACCTACTTGGTAAAAAACTGTAATAAATTATATAATTATTAATCAGGTTGACTTATACTCAATATTGCCAGTAATTTGTTTAATTTATAGTAAAAAGTGTATTTTTCTAACTTACTAATCCTTTTGTTCTCTTTTTGTGAGTACTATTATCATTATTATACACAACTTTGCATTGTTGATCTTATTAATATGCACAATTATATAATCTAACCAATTACATATAATTATCCAATCATGTTCTCTTAGTTTTATCAAACATAATTATCACCACAATATTTATTTTAGGAAATTTTTGAAAAAGTTATTAAAAATTTATTTTTTAATCTGGTTTAGTACTTTCAGTATAGCCAAAGAAACTATATCTTCCAGGAAATTGGTGAGAATCTTTTTCTATTGCAAGTTAGATTTGAAAAAGAAAGAAAATCTTGAAAATCTCATGAATTTCCTGTAATAGAGTGATCTACACCATTCCACATCTTTTTGCAAACAGCTATAAATATAATTTTAAACTTTAATGTTAAATACATACTTTTTAATACTGTAATATAGCAATTGCTAATTTTTTTGAGATGCTATATTTCAAAAGTGTATTGGCTATCACATGTCAAGAATACGAAGTAAAAATATTTAGAACCCCAAAAACCTTATACTAACTAAAATTGGGGTTCTAATATCCAACCCAAGATTTGTCTAAAATTCTAATTTTAAAATTTTAATGATAATTAAAGAAGGGAATTCTCTAGCATAAGAGAATTTTGTTTTTATTGGTTGTTTATTTCTATTGAAAAAATAATGTTACACAAATTTTTTATGTTGTTTACAATAGAAAAATAGACCTGTAAATAGCGAAAAAAAATTTTAATAGTTAAGCCTATTAGAAATTTTGCAAATTATAATTTAGAAATATATTTTTCATATAAGCATTTGGGATCAAATGGGATCGAATTTTTCACCAACTTTAATTAGAGCCAATTTTGATTATAGTTGTATTTAATACGAAGTTCTTACATTAAATTTTTAGCATTTAAAACAGAATAACTAATATAAAATAATATGTTTTTTGAAGTAAAAGTTTTGAATTTCACGTGAGCAAGGTATTATCGTAAAAAGATTATAAAAGATTATTAAATACTATATAGAGTTGTGAGATAATATCAGGTATTGATATTAAAATCAATTTTTAATTTTAGCTAATCAGGGTTGCTGATAATTAGCCAATTAAAACAAATGTCTCTCATGCTAAATTCCCTCTAGTAAAATATTGTTACTTTCTTTTAATATTTAATAGTTTTTAAATAAAAAATTTAGTTTTAATTATTACAAATAGTTTTAAAATTTTTTTAACCAAGCTTGTTTTATTTTATAAAATGCTAATATATTACAAAGTTATTAAGCAATATATAATTTTTTAAAATCAAGATTAGCTTTTGAGATTAGAATTTTTTATTTGTATATTAAGTGTAGGTATTTTAAAAAACTTATTAAAAAGTACAATTAGTTATATATACAACTTTATTTATTATTTATTTAAAGATTCTACTTACTATATAATTATTTATTAAATATTATATTTAAGATTTGTTTGTAATATATATGAATTTTATCATCAACTTTTTTCAACAATCTCTTGGTCAATACTTCAAAAATCTGAACTACAAAAAAAAAAATATTATAGAAGACACTCAAGGCGAATAATCTTCTTGATTTTACATAAGTAGATGTGTTGTCAATAAAATATCAAGAGTATAAAACTAAAAAGCAAACTATTTTGGATAGTTTTTAGTACTTAACAAAATCAAGTAAAAACTTGATAATCAAGTACTTGATTAAGTTAAATAGTACAAATTAGATTTTAAATCTTTTAGTAAATCTAGCAAAAATTACTAGCAATTCATTAGATTTGTTTTTTTTTTTTTCAGCAATCTTTTCTTTATTATTTATTTAGGTATAGAATACAATACCATGTATTTGTATAGTTTTAGCAGCTAACTACATTAAAATCTATATAAGCCAGTACTAATAAAGAATCACTCAATCTATTAAACAGAAATTCTGCAAAGAAGACCCAGATGTGACCCACCTAAGTGGTTCATCTTTATCTCATCTGGGATTCCCAATTTCCTGAAAATTTATACCCCGAGAGTCTACAGTAGGTGCCCACTGACCTTGTCAGGATCACTGCCCTATATAGCATATCACCAATCTGAAGAAAAATTCTCTAAAAAAAAAAACAAAAAAAGAAGTACAAATAGGATAAAGGGAATTATAAGAAGGAGGATATTTTGAAAAGAAACAAATACGAAAATGAATAAACTAAAAAAAGAAATCTAAAGTACTAATTAAACTAAAGAACCTATCTAACAAATTGGTACCTGCTAACCAGGATACATATTTACACGATCGTAGTAATTATATAGAACTCAGCTGATATATATAAAAAAACTAAACTAAATGCACTTTAACCTGTGCTAAGGGCTAAAAATTATATGCACATGACTTTATCATAAGACTGCATATTTCAAAATCTCTTTATCGTCCCAACTTTAAATCTATAATCCATTCCAAAGTATAACAAACTTAATCGACTTCACGTGTTCTCACTGTCACATCTCATCTATTTAGTGTGGAAGTCCTTAAAACCTTTCAAATCTTCGACGTGCAGGGCCATATTCCCAAATAAAGAATCAATTTTCCTATGTAGCTACGTGTTTGTTGTGTTTATGTCACAAAGTCACCGAATATAGAAGTGGTAAACAATGCTGATCTTTTGATAGGCGTAGCCAAATCTCTACTTTTTGTCAAAAATTGGTTTTGGGAGCATCAAAGCAGCGAGAGAAGTTGTGGTTTTGCGAGTTTCTAACTAAAGAGAGTTTTTCCAAGAGTTCGTCATATCCTTCCATTTCCAAACTTCCTGAGTTTTCTTTTTTACTTGCTGTTCTCAGAGATTCCTCTGGTTTGGATGCCAAACACAAAAGGGAGTCTACCCGAAGAAGTAAGAAAAAGGTTTGACCCCTTTGCAAATCGTCTAAAATGCCCACTTCTCAGTATATCACATTTAGAGACTTCGTCGACAACAGTTTGTATCGAGAAAACTTCAAGTTGTTGTTGACTTCTGGCCTTGAGTCTTCAACTTGCTTTCGGTACTAGTTGGTCCAAGTGATCGTTAGGGAGAGTTGCTTGATTATTTTTTTTTGAATTCATTAGATTTACTAAAAGATTTAAAATCTGATTTGTACTACTAATAGATGCTCAACTTACTTAAATACTTGATTATCAAGTTTTTACTTGATTTTGTAAGTACTAATGGTTTTTGTAAAGGTCAAGCTTCTTGCTAGCAGACTTTTTTTATTATATTTGGTATTCAAATTAAAAGGTTATTTTAGAAACACAGAATAATTAGATCAATACTAAAAATATTAGAAACTAAAAGATACTCTTATATAGCTATAAAATTTACAAAAAATAATCTACAAAGTTCTATTAATCTTTCAACTTTTTTTGAAAAAGTTTTTACAAAAAGTGAGTGATTTAGTTTATCTTTTTAAAAGATCAATATCCTAATTTTTAAATCAGTCATTATTGTTTAATATCTAAAGATATTTATATTATAATATATAATAATACAAGTTGAATATTTATAATCACTAAATAGAAGATTTATAAATATATTAGTAATATGCCTTAATAAAGTAAACAATACCTTTAACTACTAGTGTCTGGTTCATTCTAATATCTTTATTTTAAATATTGAAGAAGCTTGTAATTATATGTATGTTTGTTTAATTATAGAGATTTTTATATATATATATATATTTTTTTTTTGTTATTAAGGCCGATGTTACGAAGCTACTGCCTTTATTTGTGTTTTTAGTTAATGCATTACATATAACTTGTACAAGGTGAGTGTGCAACCAGCCACAC